ATTTTTTTAGATAAATAAGTAGGAACATTTTTTCGTCGAACTAAAATTAAGTAAAATTTTTTAAAAGAGTTAAATTTGTCATACCACGTTGGATCAGCAAAAATCGTGCAAAGAAATTTAATATTTTTGTTAGACCATATTAAATCGAAATCGTGTAAAAACGGAGTTAGGTGTACCTACATAAATTGATAAAAGTTACTTTTCATATGCAAAAAACTAATACTTACGTATTTTCCATTGAATAAATCCAGATGGAATACTTGTCCACTAACTGGAACTAATCATTTGAGCGGCCCAGTAGAACTTTGACTATCAGAACACTCTGTTAACCAAATATGCTTTCATCGTAACGTTCTATTGTCTAAGCCCTAAGCAATGTATTCTCAGACTTTGGATTTATTCCGCGCAGTGTTTACACGTTGCATATACAGGGTGACTCGTTTAAATTAATTCCCACGAATATCGTCGTAACCGTTAATTATATTAAGTTCAAATTTGTTTTCTTTTATTGACGTATGTTTCTATAATAATTTCAATAAGAAAGAAAACTATAAAAAGAGAATTTAAAATCTAAAAATATTTTAAACCCATGGAACTAAGTTCAGGGTCAATTCGACCCAAAACAGAACAGTAATTTTCAAGATTTTTCTACATTACAGAAATCTAAAAATAAATTTCACATTAACTGTTCAGGTATGATAATTATCTCTAAATGAAGTAACGCATTCCCGTAAATCTATTATAATTTGAACTGAACAGTATCCACTGACAACCTATACATATATGTAACGATTACTTCAACAGAAACACAACATCAGTTAATGAATTATGTTTTCTCCAAGCACCTCCAAGGCGTACTCCTACAACCATGTTTAAAACGGTTGAACAACATTCCCAATCCAGAAATAAGAAAAAGCGAAATAACAACCAGAAGAAACACTAGAAACACAACAAAACAGCAGGAAAATGAAAACGAGCAGCTGTTGCTGTAAAAATCCCGCGATATTTACGCGGAATTAGGACTATCCTTAATCGAGCTTAGTTACCCACGAGCGTGTCACGAATTTATTTAACGCGTCCGTCGAGCAGCAATTTAGCAACGAATCCCCATGCGTGTTCCCCGGCAAATATGCAGAACTGCTCGAATAAATAATATCAAAGTAGGTACGTTCGGGGGGGGGGGGGGCGTACGCCTTGATTCATTAAATCCTGGGATCTCATAATACGGCTTGGAAATGGAAAATGTGCAACGAGGTCGAGCGTGTGACCCCCACGGTAACTTCGGTATTGCGAGTGCATAATCCTTTCGTAATGACGTGCCCGTTTTTAGCTTTAATACAGCTGACACGCCGCAATCACGCCACCCCCCCCCTCCCCCCTGGCCTCGTGAGTAGGGGAAGATCCTCTCCTGGCCCAGCCCCGAGTGTGTGTTTCGCGCACGTTCCGAGTCCAGGGATTAACGTTCGTCTGACACCGGGGTCACGCGTTTCCGGAGAATGCGGAATTTATACTGGACAACCTCGAAGTAAATCACTAGATCCACATCATTTGACCCGTGGCACACATTTTTACGATACGCAGCAGAACAAAATTTAACTGTAGAACGACAGTGGTGTGGCCACTGGTGACCTCACCGAACTATGATCTTATTCACAGAAGTGTAAATAAAGATTAGAATATTTTAGAAATATAGAAACAGCTTTTGTTTGCTTTTTGAATTTGGGTAAGTATTTACAATAAGGGAGTCACCTCCAATTTCGATGATTTTTCTGTATGTTGTCAAGGTCATCACCCTGAATACTGTTGTGAAGGTTTTAGTTGGGACTTGCTGTTTGTGAAGAAATTATTATTTTTATAAGTTTAGGTAGATGATTATTTAGATGTTTGGCCTTCTCAGAAATTTCAATGCGTTGCCGACAAAAAGACATTTGTTTTTTCAAAATTACTAACAAAAAGAAAGTATCATCTTCCAAAACAGTAGACAAGCGTCTGAGGCTACTTCAATAAGTGGAAACGCGTCCATTGTTTTAGGGGAGTTATTATAAAAAAAAGTTACTTTTGTTTCTTGAACTGTGTCTGACCAATTTCGATTAATATAATGCTTCAGAGTTGATCAGGGATGGTCAAAAAAAGTTTTTCAGAATTGGGTAGAGACAGTTCAAGAAAAAGGTATCATTGTTCACTTAATAACTTTTTAGTAAACATTTTATAACTGAAACCTTCTGAAAGTCACTCAGGAAGGTGACTTTGAGAAGATATGTCAAAGTCATCGGTCATTTTACTTATCAATACTACTAAAGTACGACAATAAACTTTTTTTGATAATAACTTTTACAAACGGCGACCTTCAACTAAAACATTTACAATACTACACAGGCTGATGACCTTGAGAACATATTAAAAAATCATCGAAATTGGAGGTCGCTCCCTTATTGTAAATATTTACCCTAATTTGTACCGTAGCTTATAAAGTACATTTTCATTGATTTTATGATCATTTGAGTTGTCAACGGCCGCACAGTATCTTTATTATAAGGGAAGTGTATTTTACAAAGGGACTTCGGTACCTCGAAAATTCTGAGTTTTAAGATTCCACAGGTTAGTAGGGCACCTCAATAGAAGCATCGGACAATTTTTCGTTTTTGATGATATTCGGTTCTTCAGGGTGAAACTACCCCTTAACCCTACGATACATGACTCTGGTCTTCATCAAATTTACATATCGTGGTTGGAAAAATAATCCACAGCAGATTACGTAGTATAAAACAAATTTTTTTATTCATAAACCAGCACTGTTATGAAATACAGATAATATTAGTATGAAGTCTTACTAACTACATTTTTACACATATGAATTTGTATGTTCTTTACATATCGGATTTTTACAGTTGACCCAAGTTCTGTCACATTTTTTGTCTCTTTTGGTGGAACAAATAAAGCAACGTGTTTTTGTCGGAATTTTTGGTGGATATATTTTCTTTTTCTGGTACATCGATGAATTTTTTAATATCTTCCACAACACTTCTTTGTAAATTGAGATTCCTCGATCTCATTATCATATACGGCATAATAACCTGTCTAGACAACAGAGTTGAGCAGAATTTTATTTGAATAATACACAGTGAAAAGCAGCAGTATCTAAGAGTGTCGTTCTGAGTTTTAAACAGTTAATGAGATTAAATAATTGTTCGACAAATGTCGATTCATTCATAAAAAGGTATTATTTTATTATAAAAATTGAAATTTTCACGTTTAAACAAGCAAAAATGACAAAATACTTTTTTTATCTTCTATTCGTTATTCGAAACATTTTATCTAGATAATGAGTTTGCCCATCTCTGGTAGACAACTGTTTCAAAAATAGTCTTCTTCAATCACTTCTCTCTTCCTTGTAATCAGAATTTCCGTTCGTAAATAAAACAAAAGCATTTAATTCAACTACATCTATTATATTACTCCAAACTACTCGTTGAAAACAGTGCAGCTAACGCAGAGGTGCTCTGTAACGCGGGTGCAGATCTAATCATAACATTCTGGGTATGTTCAATCTACTCGAAATCCTATCACTATACATAAGCTAGGATATCTAAGAATGTCAAATAATAAACATTAAGAGTCCGCTGGATGTGTAAACCAAATCTGTACAGAACTATGTGTCCATATTCAACTAATGGGTATAAAACACCCAACTTATGAAAATAGCGACGAAATTTGAATTTCCACTTTTTCTTCTGAATTATTCTGTTATTAAACTTGAGAAGTAATTATTACATATTTGAATTCTTAAGGAATGAATACACAAAGCAACGTGCAATTATTTCATTATACAAGAAAGAAATCTAAAAGTAAATATTCAAGTGGATATAAAATATCCACGTTATGCATTTTAGGGTTAAATTTATTTTCCTGTATATATCTTGAAAACTATACTAGGTATAAAAAAAACAGTTAAAATAAGATGTAGGCTTCTTGTGCTCTATAAATCTATGCAATGAGATTAAGACATCTAATGAAGAAGGATTTTTCGAAATAGATTATTTTGATTTTATTTTGTGGTCACCAACTCCACAGTGTCACGTACGCTGGAAAAGGGGACGGTGTCGTTCTAGGGTTGACCTTCTTCGTGGATTAACCCTCGACCTGCGGACACCGGGTCAAACCCGTACATCTTAGGTTTGTCTTACCTCCGAATCCTTGATAGTTTCATCTCATCTTACACCGTTGGCTTGTCGTCGGAAAATGTATTTGACTTCAGTTTTGTACCAGTGCTTACACAGTCAACACGGATTCTTCGGCTAACACAGTTTCTACGATCTCATAGACGAAAATACATGTCGCAAATGTTCGCAACGTATCTCTAATATTCGTGTGAAAATTGAAAAAGAAATACTTTACGTATTGAATGTGCAAAATTAGAATAAATATCGTTTAGTTTATACTTTGTATATTTTTGTTTGCTTGTTACTTATTATAAATTGTGCAAGTAAAAATTGACCACAACATTACATAAATAGTTCTGGATGTGATCTCAGTAAATACTGATAATCTCAGTAATTGTTCAAAATAAATAACGAAACGAAAAGGGGGCAAGATATCATTTGTACTCGATTACTTTCCTGAATTATTGTTTATGGAATAAATTGTATACATTATTATGAGCCGTTCAGAGGCCAAAGTAGTGGTAGCTCCAGTTTTTGAATGTTTTCAAATTTTAATGCCGTAGCACTTGATCGGTGCTTAACTTTATATATTTAAAATAAATTTCTTTGATAATTTTTGTGGATTTAATCGCATCGGCAAATAAACAACTAATGTATGCTTTTTCTTTCTAAATACTATTATTATTGATATTTTCCGCTGCAAAATTTACTTCGCCACTTATCAAACCTCTGTACCTCATTGTCGTTTAAACTCGATACAGCTACCCTTGTTAAACAAAGAATAATTTCCAACTTAACCATTTATTTTATACAGAACCCAATTAAGAAACATAGTAAGACATGAATAAGACCAGTAAAATTATTCAACAATCTATTCGGGTACGCCCTTTAAAAAATCAACGACGAACAAACTATTTCCCAACCGCTCAGGGAACAACTTTTCTCATTTTCGTCGGTTCTCCAATCACGAGTATGGGTGTCTCCATGGAAAATAATTTATGCACGGCAATAAACCTAGCATTAATGTAAATTACATTTCACGATAAGCCGCCCGCTGTGAGCTTCCTTAATAAAGAGTTTCTTGTTCATTATTTCCAGACTGCACGGTGCGGCGCGACTGTATCGAGCACGGTCTACCATCTGCTCGTCCTCGCCGGACTGTTCGCCCTTGGAACGGCTGCGTTTTGCCCGAACGGTTGCACCTGCGACGACGACAATCTCGTGGTGTCCTGCATAGGGGCGAACTTGGATGTGATACCGATCGCGTTGAATCCGAGCATCCAACGGATAGTGCTGAAGGAGAATCGGATAAAGATCGTGGATGCAGCAGCCTTTCAATTTTACGGGGACCTGAAGAACGTCGATTTGTCGAGCAATCATCTATTCACCATACCGAACGGCAGCTTCGAAGCGCAAAAGCAATTGGTCGAGCTTCATCTGAGGCACAACAAGATCTCTGCCCTGACCGAAAAAACGTTTCAGGGCCTCAGATCTCTGACGGTGCTGAATCTACGGGACAATTATCTGGAGAGCCTCAAGAGCGGTCTTTTCACCTCGTTGACGAAGCTGGAAGAGCTCGATCTGGGAAAGAATCGTATATCGAAGGTGGAGCCGGGCGCTTTCCAAAAATTAGGCACACTTAGGGTGCTGCATCTTGACGACAATCAGCTGAGAACCATACCCTCGCCCGCGTTGGCCCCGTTGAACTCGTTGGCCGAGCTGCACATAGGCTGGAATGCGTTCTCCGCCCTCCCCGACGACGCGTTCAAAGGATTGGAACAGCTGACGGTACTCGACATCACCGGTGCCGGTCTAGATGACATCAGCGACTCAGCTTTTCGAGGCTTGAACGCTCTGCGTACACTCGGTCTCGACGGGAACAAGCTGCAAGAAGTGCCCACGAAACAACTGGCGGTACTGCCTCGTCTCGAGGAGCTCACTTTGGGCCAGAACTTCTTCACGACTCTGAGGTCAGGCGCGTTCCAGGGCCTGTCCAAGTTGAAGAAACTCGATATATCCGCGGCGAAGCTGCTGACCACCGTGGAACGCGGCGCGTTCTCGGACAACGCGAATCTGGAGACCCTAGTGTTGAACAGCAACAAACGACTAACGACAATGGAGGATGGTTCGTTGGCCGGCTTACCGAACCTAAGGCATCTGATGCTCCGCGACAACGCCTTCGCCGGATTCTCCGAGTCCCTGGTGGCCTGGAACGAGCTACGTCGGCTGGATTTAAGCGAGAATCCCCTGGTCTGCGACTGTGGTCTGCTCTGGTTAGCCGAGGTCCTTGTCCCACGGAACTCCAGCCCGGTAATCTGTGCGGAACCACCGGAATCGAAAGGAAAGCCGATAAAGGGTATGTCGCCGGACGAGCTTGGCTGCGCGTTCTCGGATCCACGAAAACAGGCACTGTTGGCCACACTATGCGCCGCTGGCCTCGCGCTGCTCACCGGCCTTGCTCTGGTCCTCTACTACAGATGCCGTAGACGAGTGCGGGATGCGTTGAAGGACTACAAATGGAAGAATCGTGCGATCTCCCGCAAGGAGCACGAATACCAAAAGACCTACTCGGACGACGAGTACATCGTCCGTGCCGCTCACCCGCATCACCATCATCACCATCATCAGCCACAGTCGCAACAAATCGCCCCGCACCATCACCATCATCATCTGCAACAACAGCAGATGCAACAACAACAACAACAACAGCAGCAGCAACAACAACAACAACACTCCCAGATCTCGAGCAACATCAAGCCGATCCCGGTGACGGAACTGTAGCTAGAACTTCGGGCGGCGAGCCCAGGAGCCGGCGGCGTTTGGTTCCTGCCCCACGGCAGCACCACGCTCGCCGAGGGCTTCACCTACATCGACGGTGAAACCGCGCGACAGATGCGCCGTCCGGGAACGCTGCCCAACTCCGGCATGTCCGGTCATCGTACGATCGGTCCCATCGAGGACGGCTCGACGCCGTTGAGCGTCGCCGGCGATAATTGCCCGTCCGCCGGCGGCCGATTACATTATACGAATCACTCGCTGCGTCGCACCCCACAACCGCCATCGTCCCATTTAACGAGTCGCGACCCGGACGGCGGACCTACGGAACGGGCGCAGAACGACTCGAGGGTTCAGAACGGTGTCCCGGGACATCATCACGCGCCACCGCCGTTACCATCCAGGCATCAACCGTCCTGCGGCCAATCATCCTATCCCACGCTGCCAATGAACGGTCACGCGACCCATCAGTACCATCATTTTCCCCGTGAAAAAGAGAGATCCTCCGGCCGCGAGAGAAGTCGCGATCGGGATTGCGCGGTGCAATCGGTCCAGACGCATCGGTCCGACAAGCATCGGGATCCTCAGATGGAGATGGAGATGCACGACGGGATGGACATGGGCGAGATCGGCTCGTATCGAGCGTAAACATCTGGTCTGCACGCGTGCGGCGATGAACGGATGGGGGATCAATGGGTTGAAATTCGCTTTTTTCTTTGGGGGAAACGGTGGAATTACGGGGACAAGCCGAGTGAATTGAATCGAAGACTGAATTCTCGAACGGTGAACGAAGAAACACCGGGCGAACGGGATTGAAAATTGCCCGTGTGACGCGCACGCGCGGTCACGTTTACCACCCCGTGGGTAATACGAACGGGAGTGCGTGAAACAGATCGAAGAAGCAGAAACGCGTCGAATCCACAACCGAACGGTCTCGAAATATGCTGTCACGATGGAATTGGCGAACATCCACGTGGTGAATCGAATCGAAGACCGATGAGGGCCCCGGGCGGGGGGATCGTCGAGCAATTTTCTTGATACTGGTACATTCCAATCGACCCTATTCACGAGGCCTTCGCGGGACAAATGAAAATGGATTAAACACAGCGAGAGAGATCTTACGGGATTATAGACGACCTAACGCTGTAGCGTCTCTTATGACGAAATGATCGGATGACAGTGTTCCAGCGTGATTCGAATTGATCCACGTCTAGACGATACTTAATAAGAGAAACGTTGCCTCGGGAGAGGGGCGTATATTGTAGTACTGTGTACCAATGAGGAAATATCAAAGGAGATCCAGATGCTCTAAAGGGAAATGGCTGAGGATATTACAATAGGGTAGCAGGAGCGATTGGTTGCAGGCTACGAGTTGCAACGCATTTTTCACGTCCTGTCGGATCATCCGGGTATTGTGTCTTGTGTCTGGACACGTTGTGTAACGCATGCTCCGGCGATTCCGTACCGAACGAACGAAGTTTACAAGGCTGGAACCCGAGGAATCACATCAAAGGCGATCGTCTTCGTCGCGAGCGCATGGACGCGTGCTGCGTGTGACGACAGCGACTTTGAAGGCGTTTCTTCGCGGAAGCGTGTTCGGAAAAGCATAAACGTAGGGGGAAGATAAAAGTGCGCCGCGAACTTGCGAAAATGTCATACGACCGTGAACGGTAACGTCCCTCTGGCGATCTCTGGACCACGGAGACGCGCGTCGTTTGTAAATGTCACGCTGCGACAAAACGGAACGATCGAATCGAAATTCGAAGGGAACGTGCTATTCTGTTAACTATAGTTTCCCAGTGACGTTGGCGGATCACGGTATGCCCGTCGATTAATGAAAAACAGAGAGCAATCGTGGTTGCACACCGTGGACGTAAGAGAACGAAGCGAAAGAATCGAATTCAAATTAACTCGGTGACTCGATATTAAAGTTTATCGCGTTTGAAATTATTGCGCGCTTACGACGTATTTATTAATGTGGCGGGACGAGTTTTTTTTATCATCGGGTCAATTCTTTATGGTTTCTTGTGGTATTCGAAACGAGAAATTGAATACTTTGTAATTCTAATTTTGTAACCGATTATGATCTCTGAACGGTGTACTTAATGACGGTAATTATCAGGTTATTTCAAGTCTTTGCGTATTCTCGGACATTGTATAAAAAATGGTATATGTTGTACATATGTGGTATGGTTTTTAGATCGATGTATTTTTTTAATGTAGATGGGTACATATACTGCGTGGCATAATTATAAAACCACCCTGAAATTTTCAATTCTTATGTATTGTGATTGAAATAAAAACGATCCACTTTTTTTTTTCTAGGAAGCAGAATCTATCCTTTTCTGGAGAAACAGTATTTCTCAACACGATTTCAGACATGGCATACTTGTTTCGTTTTTATTTTAACCATAATATGTCAAAATTGAATATTTTACGGTGGTTTTATAGTTATGCCACGCACTGTATAATATACACATATACAAGGTGGACCGATAAATGGTACCACCTCTGACTAGTTTTTGGAACAATGAATGAAAAATATAAGTTTTCCGACTAGAAGTTATTTAATACAAATGGTCGGGCTATGTAAAATTCTTTCTTATACCATACAAATTGTCGCGTTCATAATTCTGGAGATACTGTGTGTGTTAAATTTTATTACTGCACTTTGTATACTGTAATAATATGATATATATAATACATATTATGTATAGGGTTGTTGCATAAAGAATGTCGTTTTCTAGCTGCAGAATTTGAAGGGTTATAAGTTATCCTCAAATGATGATTTTTAATCGGAATAAGATCTATCTTATTCTATCGATATAAAATACAAATTACGAGAAAAAACAATGTTTACTCTGCAACAATATAATATATACAATATATGTGTCCACATATTTTACCAGTTGTGTTTTAATAATAAATCATGAAAGCGCTCTTCTCAAAAGTATCCTCTGTTCGGAAAAGATTATTCGAGTGAATTATTTTAGTATCAAGACACTTCAGAGTTTTTCTATTTTTACCAATGATAATATAATCGTAGCATTCATTGACGTTTTATGGTATTCAAAGCATTGGGACTATCCTCAGAGCGTTTTAAAAGTTCGTATAACAAAATACGCAGAAATCGATGAAATGATCTGGTAATATGAAACATGTTCGAAATAGTCATGTCCAATCATCCATGTCCGAAGTACATTATTATAAGTTTAACGGCATTTGTAACCCTTAAGTACTTTGCGATTCATTCTGAATACGATCGACAATATACAAACCATCGCTGAGCACCGTCTAACATGGACTCGTGTACATTAAAAAAGTATAGTACGTAACCGACCGCTTAATTATGCCGAGACTGTCGAGTGGGACAAGAAGTGACGATCTCAAGTTCGATGGCGCCACAGTAGCCAACGAGATGGAAAGGGTTCTGCAGCGCACGAAAACGATCTTAACGAGTCGACTGCCGAGTAATCGCTCAATTGAATGTTCTCCCGGATTTCACGAGTCAGATATCGTGGTAATGTGCTTTTTTCTTAATTTAAAGCGCACTTCTGTGAAGCTCGATCTTGAAATTATAAGTTTGGAAGTAATACGAGATCGAAAATTGCCTTTACGCCTTTCTCATAAACGTGTCTAATTAATTATGACAATGGTTTGTCGAAAATTTCAGTCCATTGAACACCGTCTATTCTTTTGTACCCGGCTTCGCATCTGTGAAATCTTTTTGCTCTTTCAATTACCACAGCTGAATTGATAGCACAATTGAAATACTTGAACTCGGCTGTTTGTAAAATAGTGATCGAAAACGGAATTTTTTACGAACGTTTTATTAGAATTAGATTGGTAATCTTTTTAAAGAGAGGAATTTTTTTTGGAAACGGATATAGAATTCCAGTGCACAGTGGTATGACGATGACTATTATTATTATAGTTTAATATAATTTAAGATTTTTCGGAAGTTATTATTTTGTTAGTAGAAATACGTCATTTGCCAGCGTTAGATTTAATAAGGTAAAAACCCCATAATTAGGCGAGCAGGTATTGTTTCTGATCAATCTCTCCTTGTTTAAATTACTAGTCTGTATTATTCAAAAGAAGAAATTGATAAGTATTTTACGAAGATGTCAATTCTATTAATATATTTTATTAATCACGTAGAAAAAAAAAGATTTGTGCCAAACCATTGTTAACATGCGTATTATTTTTTCTCCTAGAAGAAGCAGAAGGAAATTAAATCATTTACACTCATAATTTACTTCAATAAATATCGGATTTTCGAAAGTCCGTTTAAAAGCAGATCATCGATTACTGATATCATCGCGTTCGCTACCGCCAATTTGTTTGGAAATTGTTCGTCATAGCCGTGATAGATATGCAACCTTTTATTAAAATAAAAAAGGTTTTATATCTCGTTGGATTTTTTCATGTAAACTATAACATTTTTAAAGCGACGGTAACATACAACTGTGCAAAAACTTATCGCACACGTTCATCTATATACAATCGTTTACAGCACCGTTTATAAGGATTGATCATTTAAAAATATGTTCTTTTTTATTTCGGTGACAACTGATTCCGTTTCTCTTTTGATTACTGTGCATTTAAGTATAACTCTGGATGTACTGATTCGATTTAATTATTATGAATAACAATTTCGAACATGTTGTGCAAAGAAATTGTTTATTTTTTATTTAAGCGGTAAAGTTTTATTCACGAATAAAGACAAATTTTTAATATTGATAATTAGGAATATTCGTACGATATAATCAACGGTTTGGCACAGATTCTTCCGTGCAGCTGTATGTTTCATCCCGTGCTCGGAATTTTAAAAGAATAATGCTCAAGTTCCTTCGTTTTTTTTTCTTGTAATTGCATTGATTTCCGAACTGCGAAATTTTCATATCGAATCGACGCGACTTTAGGAACAGGCGCGGGCATTTTGTGATCGTTAACGTATTGGTTTAAACGCAAACCGTCGAACAATGGACACCGAAAGCGTCTCG